GGCAGTGCCTGTGCGGACCCGAAGTCCTGCGCGGTTGGCATCATGAACATCATCTCCTCCTTTGCGTGGATCTCCCAGTTCACGGCCCTCGCCGTCTCGGACTGCCAAGTGGGTGCCGACCAGAAGGCTCTGTGCACTGCAGACATCTCGGACACTGGGCCGTTCTTGAACACGTTTTGTGTTTGCTTTAGAACATTTCTGCAGGCATAGCTGCAGAGCCCTGCCTCAAAAGGCCCTCCGAGAACGGCCCAGGACATGGTGGCAGCGCTCACCAACGGCCCGGCTGCCGGCATCGCCTCCACCTCTGACTGCGCGGACCTCTAAGACTCTAAACTGCTCAAGGATGACCTCGTGGCACGTAGAAACTACGTGCCGGGTCCGAAGAGGCTTTTCCAGGGCAACCTGTGCTGCCTCTTAAGAATAGGGGCCAGCAGAGACTTTTGGCTTTAGGTTGCAAGCAATTGGGTACATATACAAATGCATGGATGCATATTATACCTATGCAATAGATATGCACACTTATTGCCATGTACAGACAGAGGGGCAGAGAGGGTTTAGAAGGTTCGATCAGGGTCCTTGTGTTCGAGATGGCCGCTTCAATCAAATCACCTGCTAGACTGTCGGCCCCGATATGTTGGGTCTAGGATTGTAATAATGGGGTACATACACAAATACAGGTTTGCCTATAGAAATTTCGAATTACATATAGATAGCTAGCTAGATTTATAGGCAGATTTGCACACACATACTTGCATGCACAGGTAGAGGGACTGAGAGGGTTTAGGAGGTTCGTTCAGCGCTTCCTGGTGTTCGAGATGGCCGCTTCAACCAAGCCATCTGCTGGACTGTTGGCCCCGCCATGTTCAGCCAATGTGATAGAGCTACACAAGACATCGCTCAAGGTTTAATGTCAGGGTTGGAATGATTGCCAGTACTACACAATTATAGTTTCCTCAGAATTACAATATAGCATACCCACAAAGCGCATTCTAATTATTCAGGCCCTTTTAATAGGGCATTCGGGCGATTTGGCATGAGCTTTTCTTCTGTTTGCCTTTTACTTCGTGCTCTCACTGCACTGCACCGTGCCTCTGCGGCGTCCCTTTGCATGTTTCTAGGTAAGGGTTCATCGATTGCTGAGTAGGGCAGAGCGCGATTCTATTGGCCATGTCGGCTGTCGGCGCTGCAGAGAGCACCTCATGGTAACTTGCTCATTGATGCGGCATGCGAAGACCATGCACATAAAAAGGGTCCACTCGTGTGCTCATTGCATTTCTTGGCCCCTTTCGTGTGCTCGCAGGCCTTGGGGGTAGAGGGCTTACTGGTAAAGTGTGGGGGTAGCCTCTTGCGGCTTGGGTTGGAAGTGGGGGGGCCGGCGGCTTGTTGCGCTGTGGTTGATGTCTTGCAAAGGTTAGTCTAGCTGGCTGGAGAATCAGTAATAGGGCTTTAAGGGACTATTCTACCTGAATTATCGAGTTGTTAAGGGTTACTAGAAGGATTCTACAGTACGGGTAGTATAGCTGTCTGGAAGATCAGTAGAAGTCTATTCGGAATCTTGCGGGGTCCCAATACAGTATAACCCAGCACCCACTTTGAATTTGAAGGCCCCTGCCTGACGCGTCTTACATTTGGGGTATGAAGGCTCCAGAATGTGAAGGTTTCTGTAGGAGTTACTTGGTGCATCTAGGGCCTATGGTTGCCCTCAGGGCCAAGGCATCCGATCATGAGAATTTGGGTAGAGTAACCGACCCCTACACCCTAAACCCCTGAAGCCCTCCTCCAGGAGAGTTGAAATTGGTTTTCATTTGAACCCGCAAAGTTGCAGTTGAGGGTTTAGGCCGTTTCTTCACCGTCATAGTCTTGCAGGAGGCTGCGTGGTAATGGTCTGTGACATGCGGAAAGCTGACAGAACATCCGTTGAATAGTGCTACAAAGCGGTATGCGACTAGGTGTACATACAGCCGACAACAGTGCAAACGTGAATTCGTTTCCGTTTCTCCCAGGCCCGCTACTACTACGGCGTGGTGGTGCTCGTCCGGAACTTCATTGTGGCCTTGCCACTTGCCTTTGAGTTTCAGGGCCCTGAGTCCTATGTCCTAGGATACCTTAGCCCCTAAACCCTAAACCCTAAGCCCTAAACCCTAAACCTTGAATTGAGACTGCAATTCTTCAAGGTTGAGGGGCTTGGGGTTTTAAGAGGCCTGAGTTGCTTCGGGTTTGCTGTTGCAGGCAGTTTAGGGTTTAGACATGGTGATGGAACTCGCGCATGAGGTGAGCATGAGTGGTAGAATCCTTAAAACAGGGACCGCCAACAAGGGACCCCTTGTTTGGTGGTCTGAATGATTGGTAGCAATATCACTTGCCACATGCTTGAAGGCCAATATACACTAACAGCCTGTTCTAATCATTCAGGCCCGAATTATACTAAACCCTAAACCCTTAATTTTCCGAAACCCCCCCCCTATGTCAGCAGACTCACTGCGAAACCCTAAACCCTAAACCCTAAACTTCACGAAACCCTTTCCCTTCGGACACCACGTGTCAACTTTCCCTCGGGCCAGACCTTGCAGCTTGTTCGTGGTCATATAGGAGTTCCGCAACTAAGGGGTACCTTTTTTGGGGGTCCTTATGATAAGGATCCTACTATTTAGGGTACTATATTCGGGTTTACTATTTTCGGAAATCCCCACACGATCTCATACTGTTCCCGAATCTGATACGTTTCGGGTTTAGGGTTTAGGGCCTAGGGACTTATAAGGGGTCTACATAATCTTAGAGTTTCGGTAGCAACCTCGGGGAAAACCTGTAGCCCCAAGCCCTGCAACAATAGTAGCTTATGACCCTTGAAGTTTGGGACCTAGCCCTTAAGACAGTAGGCTTTCGGATCCACAGCCCCAAGACCCTAAACCATGGTTTCCCTGGACCAACCCTAAACCTAAACCGACAGCATGCCTAGACTTGCTTTGGCAGGGGCTTAGACCCCGTCCAGAGTCGATGGCTTCAGATTACCCTAAGCCCTAAACCTTAGATTCCCTAAACCCTTTATATAGACCTTAAATTCCCTCAGCCCTAAACCCCTAAACTCCCTAAAGCCTGTAGATAGGGAGGTTTGAAATGAGACGCTGTTGAGCTCTGGGAACCAGCGTTCCGCAACGGTGCAGTCGCGGGCACCGCCCGGCTTGGTGATCTTGTGGGCAGATCCTGCTCCTGCCATTCACTCTAAACCCTAGACCCTAAACCCTAAACCCTATAAACCCTAAACGATTCACGAAAGCTACGACCAAAGGTTCGGCAGAGCCTTCGCTCATCTAAGGTTTGAAGTGTGGGCCCCTACTATTGACCCTTCGGCCTTCCTAGGGCCACTTAAGGGTACATATAGGGTATAGGGCTTAGGGTTTAGGGTTTAGGGCCACTTAAGGGTACATATAGGGTATATAGTAGGTGTAGAAGGATCCCAGGGTTAAGGGCCCATACTAGGGGCCCATGGTTTCAACCTTAGACTCTCCCTGATAACACAGCTACAGCGAGCAGCAGCGCTTCTGTGGCGCGCAGATTCCCTGATGAGTGGAACCCCGTGTGCTCACTGAGGGCTGCCTGACAAGGGCTCAAAGTTGAGACTTCACTGCACAAGTCCGTCTGACAGCACTTTCATGAAGCGCAGCGGCAGCCTGCTCTAAACCCTAAACCCTAAACGCTTAAGCCCTTAACCCTAAACCCTAAGCCCTAAGCCTAAGTTCCTGGTCCTGCTAGATGCTTTGTCACAAGGAGCCAAGGTGCTCAGAGCAGGCTGGCATTGGACCTCGACTCCTGAGTAGGCCCTAGTCACAGTATGTCTAAACCCTGAAACCCTAAACCCAAAACCTTTAGCCCTTAAGCCCTAAACCCTCAAACCCTAAACGGTGCCAAAGTCTTTATTTATTCAGAACGTTGAATCAAGTAAAGACTTGCTCTTCCGTGCCGTCATGATTGTAAGCGGAGAAGGCTTGCTCGCTGGGGCCATCACCCTGCTCCAGCGTTATGATGCACTGGTTTCGAACGCGTCTGCTGCGGCCACTCCTGACCAAGTCAGGGGTGCCATTTATTCCGGAACCGGCCTTGCCGCAATTATTATGATCAAGGTTATACCAGCGGTCGATCATTTTGTGGACCGTTCTCGCAGCTCAAGGAATCAAAACGAAGATTAGAGAACGTCACTACATGCGACAGCTGCGAAGTGAATTTGGATCCCTCCTCGATCAGCCCGTTGAGGTTGAATTGGAACATTCAGAGAAGGTGTCAACTACTGCATTGGTGCCCTTCAATGGGACTCAGCAACTCGCTGTTTACGACACCAACCGAGGGGGATTCATTGTGCAAGATGAGGTGGATGCTTTCATTGCGAAGAAGCTCCACGTGTATAGTGGCAAGGCTGTGCTGTATGATGGAGACTCTCTTCTCCCCCTTTTGGAGGAGGACGAAATGGATCGTACCAATCCAGTGATGTGTTCTGGAAACGAGGATTCAGCCATAGCAGCTGAATGAGATCGTCTGCATGAGATTTTATGGACTGATTGAGACGAGCCAATGTATGGGCTCCCTCTGGGTTTTCTGCTGGCCTAGGACAACGGCATGAGAATTTGCAGCAGGAATAGCTGATGAGCCACTGCATGCCCCCAGCACCTTGCTGGGAGATGTGATTGACTCTTTTGGTATTCGATTTTGCATGACTGCGTTGGAATCTATATAGCATGTCCTGCAATGACACCATGGAGCTGGAATTTATTGTGCATGAGCATTGACATAAACATTGTCGACACTTCTGCATGGTCCGGCTTTTCACTGCATGGATGCACTACGACAATCGAAGGTTGCGAATATCCCCACAGTGACATCTGCATGACTTGCTCCAGTGAAAGTTGGCGTGGATGCTGACTTATGAAGTGAGAGATAATTGATAATTGGTTCAATGCAACCCATGCTGATGCTGATGAGACATATTGGCC